TTTCATTTTGACATATTTATATGTCCTCGCTTATATAAGTCTTATAATGTTGAAAACGTACCAACTTCACGAAACAATCCTTAGGATGCGGGCATGGAGCGCTCAAAGTAAATTCCCTGGTTTGGGAATCGAGTGTTCCAAAAGTTGGGGATTTTGGGGCTTGGGAGTCGGCTCTCCACTTTTTGGGAGTCGTTTAACCAAGCCCCTTAATTTATTAATTTGAAATGATAATGTGTTGAGTAGGCTTAAAAACTACTGGTTATGCTGAAACACTTGAGCTGACTATTGAACTCTCTACTTCCTGGTGGAAACATTTCCAAGGCAATTCTGGAGAAGAAACCTTATAAACAACTTGTTATGTTGAAACACTTGATCTGATTATTGAATAATCTAATTCATGGTGAAAACATCAACAAGGCAATTATGGATCTGTCTATCATAGCTGTTGGAGGAACGGTGCATATAGGCAAGTTGAAGTATGACAAACAGCTAGGAGAATCTAATGCACCATTTTTGATACTAACATCATACATCAGAATAAGAAACTCAGATATAGGAGAAAGATTAATTTTAAAAGTTGGAAAAGCAAAAACTCCTCCAAGCAGAATCCCCCTTGGCAAGTGGGTACAACCTGCACGTACCCACAGGATTCCTCCTTGGCCAGCTATAGGAGAAGGCTTTACCTACCCACCAAGGATGATTACTGTTTGGCAGTCCTAACCAGTATCCATGAAGTTCATACAAAAGGTGCCCATTTTTTTTTTTTTTTGAAATCTGTTCAAAGAGGAAAATGACAGTGAAAGAACTTCTTACTGCAATTGCCTCAAGTACATAAAAAGGAAGGCGGAGAACCAATGGGGGCTTGATTTCAATGGACTAGGCTGGGATAGAAATAGACAAATAATCAAGACAATGAACAGAATAAAAAAAAACATCAAGCATGAACAGGAGGGTGCATACAACATCAGACACCATAAATGAAGCATCTGCAACCAGGAAGATAAGCAGACATACACGAGAGAAAGAAAGCCCTCCATATTCAGGGATCTAAGACTATAAGCCACAGGTTCAGGTTACATGACAGGATGGTAAGACAGACTATGATGGTGGAGATTTCAATTTGATTATAGAGTAGATTCTAGGGGCAATTCAGGACAGGAGGTCAAGGAAGAATTGAGAAATAAAAAAAAGGGTTTCAATGGAATGAATGTGGCATAAATTCCAACACTTTTTGTGGCAGGATGAAAGTGAGTGAAATCCCAGGTTTGTCAGAGACTAGGGTCACTTGACATTTCTTCGATTCAACTTGTTCACAGTGATTTATCATTGAGAAAACCTAATTTACTTTATCATTTTCATCTTATTTATTTCATCTTTCACAAGGCCTTTTACGTCATTTGCTGTTTTATGATTTGAGTGCCACATTGAATACCAATTTTCCCTCAAATAATCATTTTTCAGAATATGTTCATGTTTTGAAGATGAAAGTGCTGTGTAGCTTGAAATTGCTGAAAGTTCTGTGAAAACATCATCTTTGTTCTTGACTTTTCCTGGATGGGTTTGTTGGCAATAATAATGAAGCCCTTTAGTCAGCCACATATGATCACCTTCTTTCAAATAGGTTCTAACATTTTTCATTTCTTCATAATATAGCAAGCTATCAGAAACCAGATCAACTTCTTCCTTTATACCTGGATTGATATCATGCAACTCCAGAAGTTCCTTGCCATAAGTCTGCAACAAAAATTCCAAGATAAAAAAGGAATATGTCTGGGAAATCAAATTTGGATTAGATGCCGGGAACAAATAGATAAGGGTCTGCATATCTTCCTTCATCCCATAAAACATATCTTTGTTTTCAAATTGATCTTGTCCTTCTTTTTGTAGCACTGTGCTTTCAAGATACCTTTCCAATCTTTCAAAAAACGTGGAATCTTGAATATTGATCAAAACAAATGAGGCTATCATCTCTGCATCTATATTCCTAAATTTGGTAGCTAAAAATTGCCTGAGCAACAAGTATAAAAAATTCCTTTTTTCTTTTCCCCTCAAAACTTGTCAAGATTTAAATCAAATAAAAATAAATGTTTAAAGGCGCAAACCATCAGTGATTTTTGAAAGGCAAAAAAAGGGGTTTGATTGGGATAGCTTAGGTCTTACCTTCAAGAAAGGTCCTGTAATGGGAAGTTTTCCAGTTTCTTAGGATAGCATAAACACTTGAACTTCCTGCAGATAAGTCCTTTTCTTGGTTACCATAATGAATGAAGAAGATTTTGATCATGTTCATTGCAGCAGTATCCATTGTGTTTTTATTCTTGACAAAATTCCTCAAAGCTTCTTCTGATATCAATCTCTTTTGGTACATGTGTTCAGCTGTTTTGAATACAGAATCAATGAGTATTTGAACATATCTGTGAATTTCCTTCTGAGTTTCTGATGCTAATTCAAGATTTGCTATTTTTAATGAACTTATATCATCCAAAAAACCACCCAAAAAACCAACCAGCACCTTTTCTCTTATGATAGCAATTGCATCTCCATCTAGATCCAATAAGGAATACTCATCTGTTGAACTTGAAGATCCTGTTCTTTGAAATTTTAGATCTTTCATGGGATTTTCAGTTGGCATTCCCTTTATTGTTCCTCTCCACCATGGAAAAGCTTGAGATATATGCCATGGTAATCCCAACCTAAATTCAGAAATTAAGGGAAAGTATTTCCTGATTTCCACCCAACTTAGATACTTCCATATTTCTTTGAAGGGTAAGCCTTCCCATGACTTTTGCCAGATGCTTTTTGGAGTTAAATCCTTGGTATTTTTGGGCTGCAAGTTGGTTTTGGGATGAACTCCCTCAACTTTCCAATCTGAAATCAATTTTTGAAATGAGTCCATTCTTTCAAAAAGGGCTAGTAACTCCCCTCCTTCTGTGGGGTATTTTGACACAATGTTGTGAATATATTCTTTGAAATGGGTGCATAGGGTTCCCATTAAAGGAACCAATTTATTATTCTTTGGATAGTGTTCAACTTGAGATTGAAATTTTGTCAATATGGTCCAGTCAGTGGCCACTCATCATAATCTGTAGTGGATTTTATACTTGATTTATTTTAACTTACTAATTGGTGGTAATAATTGTAGCTGCTTGTTGAATTGTGGGATGGTTGCAAGAACTCTCTGTGCATCTTCTTCTGGCATTGGAACCATTCTGGAACCTAAAACTTCTGTTTTTTTCAACATAGGAAAGACATTGGGAGATAAATCTGTAATCCAAATTAAGAATCAGCTTCTATATAACCAAAATGTTCATGAAATAAGCCTGGATAAAATTCTATCACCAGGGAGAGCCATTGGTTGGATTTCATTCAAATAGAGCAATGTAAACAGTGCTATTGGCTTGAAACTCATCAAGTAGTTTTTCATTTTTGAGTGGAATAAAATCACAGCTTTGGATTGATGATTTTTGGCTGGTTTATTACTTTTGAACATTCAGGTGAAATTGAAACAAAGGATGCAGGTGCAGATTTTCATGAGTTTCACATGCAAAAGGCAAAACCTCATCTCCACAAAGCTAAATCTACCCAACATTGTCTCAATGAAAGTATACATTTTTGTTCAGAGTGAAACTTAATCCAAGTGTATCCAAGTCAGATTTTTACAGAAGCCGAAAAATCAAGGGCTCCCCCTTAAAAAACAAACATCCAGGGTTTCCCCTTAAAACAAAAAACAAAACAAAAATGACATGACTTCAGCATAACTACAATAAAATGAGGAAACAATTGAATAGAAGAAAATAGCCCTCCAACACTAGCAAAGATGGTGTATTCAGAACCATAGACCAGCCAATTTCATTGCACCCAACAGATTCCAGCACTTGTGGTTGAATGTGTGTTTCACATGACAGAGCCTAATATTTAATGACACTTATTTAAATCTCACAGATCTGGATGCTCACAGTCTGAATCACTGCACATGACAGAAGAAACAGTGGTTGTGCAATGAAACCTCATATAGACAGGACTATTCCAAATTCATTTCACTCAGTGTTATTTTCTCTTTCTTGATTCAAGTTTCATACTTCTACTTGTCTCTCATCACCAAATTGCTTTCATCCTTTTCTCTTTTGGCAGACTTCCAGGTGTGAAGCTATCTCATTTATTTCATTTTAATTGTTCATGTTCTTTTCAGGTTTCCACTTCCTTTCTACTTATTTGTGTTGCTTGTCACTTTCTGACACCTTGTTGGTTCTCCCAAAAGGTTTGCACTTCTTTTCTGCTCAGTCCTTTTGGTGGTCACTTTCTGACACCTCATTGGTTCTCACAAAAGAACGTACACACCTTCTCCATTATTTAATACTGGGAGTGTATCCATGGGAGCTTGTGGTGCCAATTTATTAGCTCATACTTTGTCTGATTTGGCATGGGTGGAAGGGCGCAAGGCTCTGGTATGTCAATAAAATCTGGTGGCTGAATTGCACGGGTGGAGTGCATTGTGGGGGGGGGGCTTCATTGAAGTGAACATAGATTGGGCCCAATGGACTGTATGACAAGGGTAGGTAGGGCTGGAAGATTTTGTATTTTAAGCTCAAGTTCTAAGATCATTGCTAATTTCCTATTGAGGGAGATCGGTAATTAGGAACTGTCTGCTTGCGATTTGAGGTGGCTTTGATGGGCCATGGTAGGTGAAATCATGGTGGGTGTAGATCAAGTGCAACAAGACTGAGAGCGACTCAATGTGCTGGTGGATGGGAGGCTGGGACTGCGCTCTTCTGTCATAGGACTCAGGAGCCATGGGCTAACTAACATTATGAGACTTGAACTCATGGCCTTTGAAACTGTCCAAATCAGCCAACCACCGGTGAATCATCCCAATGTTAAGCAGTCTGAGCGGATGAACAGTTATATTGCAGGCTATCAATGGTATGTATATGTGACGAGCTTGGTCGAAGAGCCTGGAAGGATCCCTTGGGAGGGACCGGCCTAATGAATGGATGCCTTTAGTCGCACACCCGCCTGTCGTCTCGCTTTGTTATTTAATCGGGAATGTCACTCAACTTACGAGCCCGATGACCAGGAGCCGACCTTGCCGGTCGGGGTGCTGGCTTTGCCCGTCAGCTGGTCAGATATTTGACCCAGACGACGGCCCGAAACATGGGATCTTCACCAATCGCTCCCGCCGTGTACTCTTAGGACCATGGATGAGAGATGATTTTATATATCTGCATCATCTTCACCTTCAATCACCCTCAGATTTGAGAACCAAAACTCTTACAAACTGCTCTCAAACGAGACTTTTTGGAACATGGCAACTTAGGGATCTTCATTCCATGATGAAAGTGGATGATGTAAAGATGATATGAACGAAAGGGGGGTTTGAGAGATTCTTGATTGGATCCTCGAGTTTCCTGTTGATTCGCTATCCTTGGTTCCTGGGGATCGCATTACCGTTGGAATACCTGCAAAATTCTATCCAAGTCCGGATGAGGATGTCCTCTGGTGCCGGCTGTACAATCAAAGTCAAATGAGGGCCAGATCAGTCACACTTATGGTCGAGTGAATGTCAATCTTTCAAACCCACCGCCCCTTTTTGGGTACAGCATATTTCGATCTGGTTCCGGGTTGCGGAGCAGTCCGGGTTGCCCTTTGAATTCGTGGGAGCGTTGATGGCTGTTTTGGGGAATGATTGCGTCGCGATCAGCTCGATGGATGACATGTGCTTTTTTCTTTCGAGAAAGATCAACTTGTAAAACAGTCCAAAAGACGACGACTCACTCTCCACCTTATAATGTACTAATGGTCCGTTGTTTCCTTCGAAATGCACTTTGTCTGGAAGTATTCGTGCGCAGCCAGGGTACGGAAAACGTATGTTCCCATCAACTATATTTGAACAGTCCAAGGCTTCCACAAAGCTAGGGGCTTCCGACTGGATGAGGAGTACAACCATTATGATTCGCAAGAAACAGGTTGACAGCATCTTGAGTAAAGCTGCGGAAAGTATTCGAAAGTTGAAAGTTGGAGTCTGGAGAGGCCTGGAAGACTGTGCCCGCCATACACCAATGGCCATCGGCCTCGACTATATAAGAATGTGGACAACATTACTGTATGTTTTAAATTTGCATCATGACCCAAGTCCACACTCTTCAATTGATTGCACAGCCCTCTCATGAGGGTGGCTTGACGATGGCTCAGATCGAGCTTGAAAAAACCACAGAGGAACTGAGGCTTGAATGTCCAGTACATGTACACTCCCAGAGATTCTAAGGATTTCTTGCCCATGAATGGGTTTGTTGTGCTCATCTGTTGTACACCAGAGGTGATCATGTCCGCGACAGAGGGTCGTTATTCTGTCGGGCGACGCCGACAGGGCTGACCGCATATGTACCCCAACTTGTGAGGGAGCTCGTTCTCGATGAGTTGCCGGCGGCGGCAATGGCCGCGAAAGACAGGTTTGAAAAATCGGCGGCCGTGCCGACGGGTGGCGGGCGAGAGTCTGAGGGGAGGCCTACATACAACGCAAAGATCACACTCATTAGGATGAATGTTGTCAAGCAATAGCCTTCGCCAGACAACGGTCATGACTTCATACCATATGCGGCCCAGAAAACCGGCAAAGGCTGGCCCTCGTTGACCTCCCGAGCCAGCACAGGCCAGCTCGTCACATGCACCATCTTTCAGATCACTTGATTTTCCCTGTAATATCCTATGTATCTCAAACTTGCACAACATAAGAACGATAAAAGCGCTGAGATTTTCTCTTCTCATGCTTCTACGTAGATCTTCAATAGTTGGAAGGAAAACAAACTGATGGCCTGAGCTCTATAAATGTGTCCAAGAAAGTCAACTTGTGTGGACAAGAAGGTGAATGTTCTTGTGATCCATGGGTCTCGTATATTGAAAGAGGGAAAACCACACAACTCATTAAGATCACGCCAAGACACCAGCGAATCATGGAACATCTGACAGTGATTGGATTGAGATTCCACGACACTTCCATAGCGATCCCACTACAGATAAGCATGTACCGGAAAGCTCTATTCATGGAACTCCTCTCACGAAACGCACACGTCATCACTGATGCATTCAAGAATCCAGATAGTACATACATGCTTCTATGATATATATACATCAGGTTGTTGGGCTTGGATTCAACTTCAAGGATGGATCAACAGTATCAAGTTCGGCTTGAACTCGTTCAACACTTCGTTCAACGCCTTTCGAGATAACCCAGCTTCAAGGGCGTATCGACCATTCAAGTATCTAAAAGCACTGCTTTTTTTGGATTTAGTTTGGTGTATAAGTAAGTACAAAGAGTCGACTTGGATGAGAAGAAAGGTGGCATTGTGCTTTAAAGGAAATAAGAAGGATAGGATAAGATAATATCATCAAGAGGGAAGAGACTTAACGAGTTGAAAGCACGAATCTGAGTGTTGGTTTTATCAGCGCAAATTTCGTCCAAATATTTCTATTCAAGGGCGGTAGCTGGATTGGGATGTCCGATGATGCTATCAGTATCAGCGAGGAAGTCGAGCTACAAAATGAGCTCGAGGTATCAGTCTGAGAAGTTGGGGAAGAAAGAGGGAGAAAAGGCGGCTGGGAGGAAGCGAGGAGGGGATACAAAACCTTCAGACCAAGAGTTGATTTATGGGGAACGGGAAAGGATGAAGCGTGTTGATACAATACAGAATTGTAAGCAGGCGTCTGATGAGTGATTGAAGTAGAGGTCTGGGAGTGTGACTGGACGACATGCGTGTGTATGCATGAAAAGGAGAGCATGTGCAAAAATGTGCCCCAAAGAAACATCGGATCCTTTTTACTAAATAGAAAAAGGCCGTGTATGTTGAGGTGAACGATCAGGTATATATCGGATTGATGGTGTGGTTTAACTGGTCTTCCAGTGGTGTTTTGGAAGGGAATATGGACATGCTTGGTCGATGAAAGATAGGAGAGTGAAATATCGTTATATGCTAAACAAACGGGATTTTGGCTGTATGTAAAAAGGGTGCATTCTCAGCAGAAAAATTTGAGTCGTGATGGGCCTGGCCCAAATGATCGTTATCGTCCTGCTGAGGATGTCCTTCTTTAGCTTTACGCTTTTAGGCGGCTTAGAGTCGAGGTTGACGTTCTCCATGCAAAGGGCACAACAGCCCAGACACCGAGCCAGTTGAGGATGCTTCCGCGGACGTTGATGTGTGTCCTGTTCTCGCCCTGGTAGGTGAGTGCGAAGCGCAAGTCGCCGACAATCTTGGGGATGTTGCTCTGCCCTGTCGATGGGGGGTAGTCTTTGGGCTAGCGCCGACTCCAGTCGTGAAGTCCAGATTGAGCCTGCCAGACTTGAACCGGCTCGGCTTTGGACAGGAACCAGGAGCCAAAAAAGGAGAGGTAATCGTCGAGGTCAGTAGGGCTCGTGAGGTTAGCGACGAAGTGTCGGCGACGATAATCATTTGTGAATAGTTGTTAATCCCGGCGAGCCTAATGATGCCGCGGTTCGGGCGATGCCGGACTGAATCACACCTGTGGATGAGGCCGTCAGGAGAGCACCTGCAGATTCACTGCTGATTAGTAAACAATGATAAAGTGACCCCCCAAATAATCAGATTTTGGTGATGAATAATCGGCCAAAAAGACTTGCCGAGAAGGTATAAAATTACGGCCACTAGGACTCCCTCGGCCCTTCCGAAGACATCGATGCATTGGAAGCTTCCCAACGGCAAAAGCTATCTAGAGAGGACATAGACCAAACCAAATTTGGTCAAGTTAGACGATCATGTCCTTCATCAACATACCGATGAATCAGAATACGTTGGTCATAATCCCCATGGTGGTGATAGGGCTCGATGTAGGGGGGCTGCTAGGGTCTCAGCCGATGTGCTGGACCACGTGGTTGTCTGTCTTAGGCGGGCGACTGTTGGGCTGTGGGCTGGATGGGGAAGCTGTATGGATGATAGTGCTCTTGGACTGAAACACTTCTTCAGCACCTCGACCGAAATCCAAAATCCCAAAACGAACCAGCATCCATCAAGTCCCTCCTAAAAGTAAGCTTCGTTTTCTTCAACTTCAACCCATTCCATATTCATCTGTCTGTCTTCGCTGATCCACCCTGGTTCTCAATCTCGTCTTCCCATACAGAACTTGATCGATTCAAGGACGCACCAAATTTATCATCAATCAATCTCAAACCACTTGTAAGTAATCCTTCATCTTGTCAGATTAGACTTACCTGAATGGAAACAAACTGATCATTTCATCAAACTCCATTCCCCTTAGCTTCACCATCTCATTCATCTCTCTATCACCCTCCCCGTTCTCTTCCCCTCATTCCAGAATGAATGACCGTGAATTCTTCCAGCCTGTTGAATTGAATCAAGAAGAAACCCTTGACGGAAGCCCATCCTCCAACAAAAATGGCTCTTCAACTTTGTCACAAGATGAACAATTCGTATCGAAAACAGGAAAAGAATTTGGTGGCATGATTCATGTTGCACCTGGCATCTGGCAAAGTGCATATCGCTTGAGTTGTCGGGGTGTGGAGCATTGTCCTGGGTTTGAGGAAAACCTGTTCTCAGCTCTCGAAGTGGACCTACAAGCAAATCTCAAGAAACTCTTTCACGTAAGAAACATCCCCTTACAAATTCACACTTTTCTTTTCTTTCTTTTTTCATTCTATGCATTTGGAACTTACATGTTACATTCTTCTTATTCTGATTTCAGCCGGAAATAAGTGCATCACTTGCCGCTGTAGCCAAGTCAGTTGGGACCTTGTACATAGGCAACGACTGGGTACAAACTGCACAGTTCATTGGCACCTTTGAAAATGTTGATTTTGCAATTTCCTGCAATCATCGCCGTGCACCCAATGTTTGGAATGTTGGAGATTTGGTTAGAATTGATTTTGGAAGTGAGGCTATCTTGAATGGTAAGTTCAATCTCAAAATTGACAGACCTTGAATATCTCATTGAACACCTGCTTAACCCAATTTCTGGTCTGCATGGTAGAGGGACCATCCTCACATGCTTGTCCAGCAGTAGTGTTACGCATCAATCCAACCATGGACATCATCTTAATGGCCATCACAAAATGGATAACACCTCGGCCTCCAGCACTCACTCCACACTTTGACCTCAATCTCATCACTAATGAGCCAGTCTATGCAATTGGCTACAACGGAAGGCCAACCAAAAACGATATCCTGGTGTTTCAGAAATTTCAGATGACAATTTTCAATGAATCCATCACCCTCTCACAGGCTGAACACTGCTTTAAATCAGAATTTAGAATGGTATCTCTTGGAAATGTCACTCAACTGGATTGTTCAACAAAGAAGGCACTTGTTTCAGCTTCACTTTGGCATGGTTCATCGGGCTCACCTGTCTTTGTGATGCGGGATTCTTTGGTGAACATTGGCTATGGTATGTACAGAAGATTCCTTTGTTATACTTCTCCAACACATAGGGTTGACTTATCTTGTTTTGAACATTCAGTTGTCAGCAGCAATGCCTCCAACAACAATGTTATCCACCTCTATGCTTCAGCAATCAAAGCTGACATTGATGCTGCAGTCTTTAGATTGGCTCTTATGAAAATGTCCAAAGATCACTCCTAAATGACTTCCTACAAACCTCAAGGATTTTGTTAAGCTCAATTGTTCTGCTTCTCTCTTCTTATATTGGCCTCTGATCACTGGTACTATGTCCTTTCTCTATAACCTCAACATCCTTTGTGTCTCTTCTTCATTGGCCCTTATCTACTCCACCAAATCAACCAACATTGTCACTAAATCACTTTCTACAACCCTCAAGGATTTTGATAAATTCAATTGTTCTGCTTCTATCTTCTTACATTGGCCTATTATCACCAGTACAATGTACTTTGTCCATATTCTCAGTGTCTTTTGTGTCTCTTCTTCATTGGCCCTTATAAGCATATGTCTCTTTTTCATTGACCCTTATGAGCATTTTATCCCAATCTCTTACAGCTATAACAAGAAAGCTTGCGGGCTCAGAAGATAGAAAATCAAAAAAAAAAACATTGGCTGCAGTCGGAATATTTGGAAGAATACAGCCAGATGTACAGGTTGTCATGTACTGGCCAGCAGCACCGATGGGACCTGACCGGCCCCCCTGGGGGGTAGCTCTGCCCTAGCGAGGCCATTGCTCGGGGGGTGGATGGAGTAAGCTTTCCATCAGGATTCTGATGGTGTTACCCTCGTCAGCTGAAAGTGAGTGGAAAAAAAGTTAGCTGATTTGATCAGAGGTAATCCATACATACATGGACCTGTATTCTTCCAAAGCTTCCAATTGTTTTCCGTATCATTTTTTTATTTTTTTTATTTTCTATTTTCTGAGCCCAACAGCTTTCTTGTTATAGCTGTAAGTGCTTTACATCTCACAGAATATCAATGGATTTTTCTTTTCTGATTTATTTTACAGGTACCTTGCTCAATCCAAGCAATGTGCTTCTTCACTGAAAAAGCCAATCAAAAAACTATGTGTGAGTTTGCAAGTGAAACAGGCAAAGAAGAAAACAATGACATCATCTGCAATGGACAAACTACAATCTTTGCAATCATTGTTTGGGCTGAGGCTTATGAAAACCTTCAAAGCCTGTCAAGAGAAGTTGGCCTTGTTTGGATATTGAGCAAGATCTCCATCAGCTCCAATGGTCTCTTACCAACCATTCAATCTCCATTCTGGAAGAGATCACTGATACATATCATGGCCACAACAAAATGTTGATTTTTGATGTTTTTATGGTTTTACTTTTCTAACTTTTTGTTTCATAATTATCTTCTCCAGTATCTCAGCTACCCTCCCCACTTGATTTTACATTTTTGAAAAAATTATCAAAAATATAAAAACAAAAAAAATGCTTTTATTTTTTTAAAAGGGGATTAATAAATGTACCCCCATTTTCTGGGGTTTCTCCCGACAAGCTGGTATGTACACCAGCTCTCCGGGAGGGGTTCCTCCCGACAAGAGGGTATTCATCCCAGCTTGTTGGGAGGAATCCCTCCTGGCGGTGTTGCCTCTCTTGGGATACCCAGATATCCGCCAGGTCTCGGCGGGAAAACAGCCATCCGCTGGCGGGTATCCGCCAGCGGATAGCGGATATCTGCGGCGGATTATCTGCGACCATCTCTAGAAAAATCCCCAAAAGAGAAGTTTTACCTTTATTTTATTCACCCAGTTTCTTTTTCTGCCTATAATTTTTTGAAAATTCAAAGTACACCTAAATTTATTATTGATATTTCCCATTTTTTGGGAAATTTATAACAACCCAAATTGTATTTAATTTTTGAAATCTCAAATTTGTTGGTTCAAGTAATAAGCAAATGGACAAAACAAGGAGTATCTTGAATGTTACAATCTATATGGAGAAAAAAATGGAAAACTTCAGAATTGATAAGGAGTTTTAGCTATACTTGAAGTTGTAAAAAACCTATAGAGAGAAAAAAATCAGGGGAAAAATGGGTGAGAAAAATAAGTAAAAATTGGAATGCTCTTTGGGGAATTCTGGACATGCCAAAAAAGAATGGGAAATTTTAGATGATTTTTAGCATATTTATAACCCCCCAAAAAATTAATTTAGAAGGCTGGTTAAAACTGGGTTTAAAAGCAGAAAAGGGGGGTACTTTTGTTGATCGCCTTTATTTTTGTTCTTTTTGATCAATATTTCTTTTTATCATACTCTTATCAACCACTTCCCAAAGTTTTGGAATCTTTCATGTGACATTTTTTTTCAAAAATAATAGATGTGCCATAAACAACTGGAAAGGCACGGATCTAGAGATTGCTTGTTGGTACCCGCCGCTAGGGACCTAGCACCGCTTGGCGGGTACCACCTGCACCCACCAGGCAGTGCCGGGTGCCGGTTTTTGGGCAAAAAAGGTGGTACCAACGGTGCAACAGAGACGATACAATACGGTATCAGGTGTTTATCTGTATCGTCTCAGAATTTGGACCGGATTTGTGTTGTCTCACTTTCCTGAGACAATACACATGTATCGTCTTTGGAAAGTGAGACAAGTATTCTGTATTGTCTCAGATGACTGATCCCACCAAAAACGTATTTGATGCATAAGATATTTGGCCGTATTGAAGAAAAAAAGAAAAAAAACAAAGATGATTTTTTTTTTTTTCATTTGTAAATCCAAATCAAATACAATATATTTTTTCACCAACCAAGGAAATACTGATACCGGTATCAGGCTCAAAATAAATATGATATGATCCAATACAAATACATGTCTCGTATCTGTTGCACCATTGGTGGTACCCAGGCACCACCCCCACATTGCCTTGTTGATTGGAAGGGTTTCCTTCCAATCAACAAGGTAAATTAACTCATTGAATGGAAGGGTTTCCTTCCAGTCAACAAGGATGTACCTTGTTGATTGGAACTTGAAGGAAAACCTTCCAATCAGCAAGGTAATGCACCTTGTTGATTGAAAGGAAACGTTTTGATGACTGGAGGAATCCATACAGTCATCGAGATGATGTACAGTCTTGATTACTGGAGGAATCCCTCCCGCAATCGAGACGGTGTGAAGTGTCAATGACTGGAGGTATCCCTCCAGCTGTCAAGACTGTAGTCAGTCTTGATGGCTGGAGGGTTCCCTCCGGCCTCAACAGACCCATGTAGGACAAGGCATGTTGGGCTGCACAAAGGTGTCCTACATGGGTTGCTGAAACCTTTGTGCAGCCCAACATTCCCAAGGCAGGTGTCAACGCGGGTACCCGGGTACCCGCCGTTTTTTTTCCCCCAAATGTCAACACCCACACCCGCACCCAGCACCTGTTTGCGGGTATCACCCAGCACCTGTTTGCAGGTACCACCCAGCACCTGTTTGCAGGTACCCACAAACGGGTACCTACTGACATCTCTATTCCCTACTAACTTAGCAAATTCCTTGACTTTGGTTGATGGCTTGCTGGCCAAGGCATGCCATAAACAAAGCTGTTGGAACTTGAAGGAATTGTGATAGCCGAAGTATTTTTTGTAGACTATTATGGAGTCTGGGTATCTTAGGAAGTCGGACTCTTGTTGATCAAAAAGGTATAAAGAAGGTATAAAGAATCTAGCCTTTTTTTTTTTTTTTTTTACAGAATATATTCAGTGCAGGTTGCAAGTGGTCAATCAGAGACAGAGATTAAAAAGTAAGCTTAACTGAACCTGTATTTCTAAGGCTCAGTATGCCATGGTAAACAGAACTTGTGACACAAGCCAAAGAGATGAAATAACAGAGCTAACTTACCCAAGTCCCTCCAATTGGAGGGCAGATGATGTCCTGCAGGGACCCTCCAAAGGAGGGACTTATGTGTCAATTCAACCTTGTGGCCTGAGAGAATTAGGAAAACAACCCTGTTTCAATCATGTGTAGCAGCACCATTTTCAAGCTGATGATCAAGGACCCAGGCAACCCCCTATATAGGTGCCTAACCAAAATGTAGGAATTTCTGGCCAAAAATTCAAAATGATACACACCAAAAATGTATGAATGGCCTTTTTATCCTCATAGGGTACTAACCTAGAGTGTATGAATGATGTACAATTATCAAAATTTTGCCAAATTTTCCCTCTCTCTTGGGGGTTTTTGGCTTTTTGGCTTTTTCCTGTGTGAATTTGATGGATAAAACTTGTTAAACACCTCAAAAATGCAAAAAAGCTAACTCTTGGCAGCAAAAAAGGCAAAAGGCAAGTTTGAGGTTGCTGGACAATCTGGAGGATTGGAATTTATAGTGCTCTGCCCCCCCCCCTCAGGATGCAAGTGGGCCGGGTTCGGGCCCAAAAACAGTGCCCAAACCCGCCCCGCACAATCCCACGGGTCGGGGCGGGTCGGGTCAGATTTGAAATTAAGATGTCCATACCCGCCCCGATGTTAAGGCAGGCGGGTCCGGGGCGGGTCCGGGGCGGGTCGTGCCTGACCCGAGCAAATACAGCACTTCAATCGCAATCTGTTTCATTTCTCTTGATTTGTTGTGTGTATATATTGTAAAAAACATGATAATAAGAGTAGAACAGACTACATGTGTATATTTGGCATTTTGTTCATGTATAGATATAATAGACAATCGGATAAAAGAAAAGACGGCTCAGACATCACGTGTATAAAAAGAAATAAATAGAAAGAAATGAAATGTAGAAGAAAAAGGAAGGTCGATTTGCAAGCTCAGTCAATAAGTTCGACTTCATCATCGTCTTCCGCGTTCTCTTCAGGGTTGTTGAGGCCCTCGTCGTGCCGGATCCAATCCTGGCCACAGACAAGAGCCTCAAGCGTCTCTGGCTTGAGGCGGCTACGAGAATCGCTAAGCACCCTACCTCCGGTTGAAAATGCTGACTCCGATGCAATTGAGGTCATCGGAATCATGAGGATAATCTTGGCCATCCTGGCCAGGGTCGGAAATCGAAGAGAGTTGACATTCCACCAGTTGAGGAGGTCAAACGAAGGGGAGTCGATGTCTACTGTTGGTTCTTGAAGGTACAAGTCCAATTCTGCCGATGGTGAGGCAGCGCCGTTACTGGATTTCTTCCCGGCTAGATATGCCTTGAATCGATCGTTATCGTTTGCTTCTTCAGGGGCTTTCCTGGTCTTTCCGCTGTTTG